CAATATTAAAGACCAAATTTTCCTCTCAGTTACAGCTCAGGAATGCCACTGTATGTCATGGCTGCAACTCAGTCGAAATATAAGATTTTTATTAATGACCTAGAAAAAAAAACATAAAATTATCACTGATAAAGTTCGCAGAGCACAGGGGATGGGCTGGGGGCAGATAGCGGAGCATGGGGGATGGGCTGGGGGCAGATAGCGGAGCATGGGGGATGGGCTGGGGGCAGATAGCGGAGCACAGGGGTGGGCTGGGGGCAGATAGCAGAGCATGGAGGATGGGCTGGGGGCAGATAGTGGAGCACGGGGGATGGGCTGGGGGCAGATAGCGGAGTGCAGGGGTGGGCTGGGGGCAGATAACAGACCATGGTCTGCTAGGCCTGGTGGGAGGCCCATGTTTCTCACTGATAAAGTTCCTGGGGCCGGATGTCTAGAGCAGAGCATCTTAGTCCAAAGGAACTGGGGATGCGTAACTGGAGCAGGACTCACAGTTAGTGTCTTCTTAATACTCTGCATCGCTAACTCAGTGCACTGCCTTCGGAGAGGTGGGGAATCACTATTATTCCCATTTTACTGCGGGAGAAACTGAGATCAGGTGTGACTTGCCTAGGCGCACGCAGGAGGACTATGTCTAGGTTGGGGAAGGAACCCTGGAGTCCTGTGCTCTAAGCTGCATTTATTTCCTCTTGTACTTTGGGGGAGGAGTGGAAGTGGGGACCAGGCCCCCGAAATGGTTCTTGTTTTGCTTGTGTCTCTTGGTTTTTGGACACGTGCATTTGGCAAACATCTGGTGCTGTTTTCCACTTCACATCACTTGTTCTGGCTCTAGGCTTGGTCACCCCTTTCCTTGTTTAGTTACTTCCCATCCCATCTCTTGCATGGCTGGTCTCCCCTCTAATGCAGACTGTCCTTGCTTTGTGCTATTACAGAATAGTGCACCTGTGTCTGCGCAAGGCTGACCAGAAGCTAGTGATCATTAAACAGATCCCTGTGGAGCAGATGACGAAGGACGAGCGGCTGGCGGCACAGAATGAGTGCCAGGTGCTGAAGCTACTGAATCACCCCAATATCATCGAATATTATGAGAACTTCCTGGAAGACAAGGCTCTTATGATTGCTATGGAGTATGCACCAGGTGGGACACTGGCTAGGAGGGGCATGGGCTGGGGATAGAGCTTCTTGGATTCCCCAGTGTAGTTGGATCTGGGTGAATGAGCCTCTTTAGGGAGTGCCTGACTTAGTGGGCTGGTTTACAAGGCATCCATAAAAGCAGGGGGCTGCGTGCTCTGTGATGGTGAGGAGAATCCAGCAATGTCCCTGGTACTTGAGACAGGCCTGCCTTTTGTTTGGCAAGGCTGTTTCCCTTGGAAGAGGTGCTCACTCCTGTCCTTTGTCACCTATTTCCTTATCTTGAAGCATATCCCATGTAAGGCTGTTGTGGAAATGGTTTGGAGGTCCCCAGGATAACATAAGCTTGTTGTTCAAAGGGACCTGGCCATGTTGAAAATCCTATTCTTTGAAAACATTTTGAAATACATTTGCATTATTAGCATTGCCAGCGCTTATCCCAATGGAAAGGGTTTTAAAAATAGCTTTTTCATCACTGATCTGTGTGTTCCCTTCTGCTCTTCACTTGCAGGTTCTGTCCGTTTCCCTTCTGTTTGTTTTGTCCGCTTCCCTTTTGGGCAGCAGTGTTGGAGCAGTAAAGCTGCCTGGAGAAGTGTCAATTCAAACAAACACAGGATTTGCCTGGCCATTTTAAATCAAGAAAACATTTACGTTAGGGTTTGTAAAACTGCTTCATAGAAAACCTGAATTCTGGGCTTGCATTACATGACAGGGCCCCTTTCAATAGCATGTGGGTACTTTAACAAGGGGAATTTCCCTATGCAGAACAGGCTTATCTTGTTCTCCCATTGACATTTGCTTCCCCACCGTGCTCTGATATGTATGGTTTTAGCACATTTCTTTGTCCTGCTGAGCCCTGGAGGCAGCACTGCCATTGACAGTGTGGTGCTAACTTTAACCCCTCTGCTGCTGGTCCTGCATCCCATGTGCTGTGCTGCTAGTGTTCTCTTTGCATTCAGAGAACGCGCGGTATGCTCCATGGCGCATTGTATGACTTTGGACATCCTTGGCTCATTCAGCAGCAATTGTGTAGTTAAGATACTGTGCCTCAATTCCATTACTTTTGGTTAAGATTATGCCAGCCCTGGTAAACTTCCTTTGCTGATGGCCCTTCTGCCCTTTGCCATCCATCCCAGGTGGCACCTTGGCAGAGTTTATTCATAAACGTTGCAACTCCCTGTTGGACGAAGACACCATCCTGCACTTTTTTGTGCAGATCCTACTGGCCCTTCATCATGTTCACACTAAACAGATCCTGCACCGGGATTTAAAGACTCAGAACATTCTGTTGGACAAGCACCGCATGATCGTCAAGATTGGAGACTTTGGCATCTCAAAAATCTTGAGCAGCAAGAGCAAAGCCTACACGGTGCGTATCTGCTGAGAGTTCCCAAATTTCCGAGGTCTGGGGGAAGTTCTTTCCATCTGATCTGATCTGTTTCTGTGCTTCCGTGTGGGGAGAGTGGGCCTGAGATTAGGTTGCATCAGCGATTGTGATTTAGATTTTGACAAGTCAGTAAATAATCAATATTACTGCTAATCTTTCCGCTCTGTGGGTGTCTAACTCCGGTTAGCTCACTGATGTTAGGGTAGCAGTGAAGACACAAAAATAACAAGGAGTCTGGTGGCACCTTAAAGACTAACAGATTTATTTGGGCATAGCTTTCGTGGGTAAAAAACCTCACTTCTTCGGATGCATGGAGTGAAAGTTACAGATGCAGGCATTATATACTGACACATGAAGAGAAGGGAGCTGAGAACCAGTGCTGACAAGGCCAATTCAATCAGGGTGGATGTAGTCCACTCCCAATAATAGATGAGGAGGTGTCAAGTTGTGGATACAGACTCACACGGCTACCCCCGATACTCGGCACAAGTGAAGACACAGCAACTCCGCTTTTAACACAAGCTAGTAGCTGGAGTTCAACCCCAGGCTGCCCTATAGGCTTTAACTTGAGCTGTTAACCCGAGTTAAAAGCTGAGTGGGTGTGTCTTCACTGTTACTTTAACCCAAGGTAAGAACAGATCTTCTTGTGCAGTGTGGACATACCCTTAATCTCCCTTGATAGTCTGGCTTGCTGCAATCATGAAAATTATTCTGTCAGTTCCTCTCTCTCTCATTTCCATAGTGTCTGAATGCCTTCCAATAGTGCATTAAAAGAACTGTCACATGTGTCTTGTTCTTGCTCTCCTCCTTGTCCCCAGGGGAGTATTGTGTGTGGTGTGGATTGGTTCATTTTGGTAGGGCTTTGTTGTTGTGTGTTGTTTTTTATTTTAAAATATCCCTGCTGCTGTGTGTTTGTGCTGGAGAAGGCTGGTTGGAGGCAAGTGCCTGGCACTTGCAGCGGGAGGGCGTGTGGGGTGTTGGGATGATCTGTAGTTCCTGGGGAGGTTTGTTCCACAGTCTGGTACTGGCCTTGTGGAAGTTCTTCCTCCTGCACAGACCAGCTTTGCCCTTGGGGTAAAAAGTCCCACTGTTCCAGAGGGGTGGAGTTGTTGACCACAGTCCTCATCCTGAAGCTTTAGGCTCCTAGATATGTTGGGCCCAAGCCACTGAGCACCTTGAAGATAAGGACTGAGTCCTTGTACTTGACTCTTAAGCTGCAGAAAGGCAGCGCAGAGGGTGGTGGACAGGCCTGCCGGGCTCGTGATGACCCGTGGTGCTGAGGAGACTCACTGTGGCACCCTGTACTAGCGGGAGTTTCCTGAGGCCTGTTGCCTTTGTGCCCAGGTGCATTGCAGTGCTGTAGTCCAGATGGGATGTGACAGAGTCTTGGATAACCAAGGTTAGGTCACAGTCCAGCAGGCTGGGCTAGAGTCTCCTAGCCAACCAGAGACGGTAGAAAGTGCTGCTATGTGAGAGGTTAGCACCAGAGAGCCTCTTCTGAGACCGGGCTGATATGGCACACGTTTCTTGGTGGCTGAATGTCCTGTCTTTTCTTTTTCAATCTTCTCTCTTCCTGATACCTCACTATCTTTCCCCAGCTAAGCTGATCTGGTTGGCATCACTAAGTGATCTGAGCCCCTCAGTTGGCTAGAAGTCCACATTGGAGCTAAGTGCTAAATGGGAGAGGGAGCCATGCTCTAGTAGTGGAAGAAACAGTAAATCCTCTAGCAATTTTATCATGGGAAGATCATTGGCCAGTAATCAATAGCAGGGAAACTAACGCCCCTCCCAGTTCGCCTAGAACTCTGGCTCCTTTGTGCTGTAGTCAAGTCATTTGTGTAATGGGTGTTGATCTTTAGCTCTCCTTGCCACGGTTCTGGACTCGGAGTGCCATCATGCATCTGTGCCTCTTTCTCTTAGGTTGTGGGGACTCCGTGCTACATCTCCCCGGAGCTGTGTGAAGGGAAACCCTACAACCAGAAGAGCGATATCTGGGCACTGGGCTGTGTGCTTTACGAACTTGCCAGTCTCAAGAGAGCCTTTGAAGCTGCAGTAAGGCCGGGGCCTGGGGTTTTCTTAAAGCAGAGACGTGAATTCCAGAAACACGTCCACATTGGGCTGTGCCTACTGCATTCCCACAGAGCCTGCAGTGCTCTTCTCTAAGACCTTGCATTGCTCCTGACGTTTCCTGCCTCTCTGCCCATGCGGCAGCCAGGGTTCTGCTAACCATGTGTGTCTATCTTCCTTCCATACTCTCCAGAACCTGCCTGCCTTGGTGCTAAAGATCATGAGTGGGACATTTGCGCCCATCTCAGACCGATACAGCCCAGACCTGCGCCAGCTCATCCTAAGCATGCTCAACCTGGACCCTTCCAAACGGCCCCAGCTGAATGAGATCATGGCCCAGGCCATCTGCATCAGGCCACTTCTGAACCTTTATACTGACGTGGGCAGTGTCAAAATGAGAAGGCAAGTGGTGCGGCTGCGCTCATCTCTCTGGGGCCTAGCAATGGGGATGGAGAGGCTGCCACAGCTCCCAGGAGGTCTCTGAGAGGGTCAGTTCTTTACTTGGTTGGAGCTAGGAAGGGACACTGACCAGCTGTGCTTGTGGTACGTGCATACAGGCTAACAGGACCCAGGCTCATGCCCAGCACATGGGGGCTCAGGAGATGGTGCATTGCTGAGGGGCTGTCACTGGGAGGACAGGTTCACCTCCAGTGTCAGGAGCTTGCTGGATGGTGTTGCACTTGCTCACTCACCCTTACCCTGGGGCCAGCATGACCTCACACAGGCCGTGGTGCTGTCAGAGAGCCGGCCGGCCGGTCATAAAGAGCTGTCCCGAGGAAACTGCCCCGAGTCTGCCTGCACCAGGCCATGCTCAGCAGTTCACTCTGCCCTAATGATAAAGCTTCCCTCTCCTCGGTGAGCCCAGTGCTAATGCTGGCCAGGCTGTCCGAGTGAACAGTCAGAAGTTGTGCATTTCGGTTTGACAGGCCTGAGAAGCCATTAGCTACAGTGCCACCAGTGACCCACAACAGAGCGGGAGGAAGAGTGACCAGTGCCAGACCCAGGGGTAAGGCCGGGCACGGTGTATTCAGCAGAACTTCATTTCAAAGGAGAATCCTTTGTATTGACCATTAGTGGCATCCTCTGCCAGATGAAACTCAGGCACTTCACACCCTAAATCCCCTTCCTCGGAGAACCTGTACTCCAGCCCCAGGCTGGTGGGACCCAGGAGCTAGCCCGTGCTGCTTCTAGATCAGCCCCTTCAGAGGCTTTCCTGCCCTTGTCGTCTGGAGCCTGAGTTCCCCTGTGCTGCAGCACACCCAGGCTGGGAATTGAGAGTCCCTGGGTGATGAATAGCTAGAGCTGTAGCAGCCCATCTACCTTCTGCAAATTCTAGAGTAGAAGGCTACTTTCCCCTCCTCCTGCTGGCATCGCCCTGGCGAGCTGCTGTGAGCAGCCTTCCCTGCAGCCCTGGTGAGCCTCAGACAGATGTCCCAGGCCCTGATCTTGCCAGGTGATTTAGCCCCTCTGTCTAACTGGGTGTTGTCCTCCACTGCGGGTGGGCATCTGCATAGTATGGCTAGGGTCACTTGCTTGCCCATTATAGCTTGGCTGGGGGGTGGCAAGCTGGGATGATGGTATTTCATTTGGACTCCTAGGTGTTCGAGTTCGCTCAGCCAGGACTGGAATCCCACCTCCCCTGTCTTCCATCTACACCTGGGGCAGCGGAATCACCACCCCGCTCCGCCTGCCCATGCTCAACACAGAAGTGGTGCAGGTTTCTGCAGGGAGAACCCAGAAGGCCGGCATCACTAAATCAGGGAGGCTCATCATGTGGGAGGTGAGCAATGGCAAGCAGGCGGCAGCCAAGGGCAATAAGCCACTGTCAGCAAAGGGGCTTGGGCAGAGGGTCTCAGAGGAGGAGTGCAGCCTGCTTCCAGACATGCCATGGCCCCACATCCCCCCACAAGTGAGCAGGCAAATCCCTGGCTGCTCACTGAGCTGCAGGGGGTGGGCTTATTGCCCCTAACTTGTTGTTTTCACCCAAGCCCAGCTGCAAGCGAAGTGCATTTCAAACCCCTTTGGCTTCTCCCTGCCAGGCTTCCCCAATGGGTGCCACTGGAGGCCCCTCCCTCCCAGGGGCCACAGAGCAGCTCCAGCCTCAGTTTGTGTCCCGCTTCCTGGAAGGCCAGTCCGGAGTGACTATCAAACATGTGTCCTGTGGTGACCTCTTCACAACCTGCTTGACAGGTATGGACAAGAGCTGTGCTGCCCCCCTGCACGGATGGGGGGTTCCCAAAGCAGCCCTGCTGATGGGGCATGCCCAGCAGGGCTCTAGTCCCAAAGTCCATGTGCCAGAGAACCCTTCCCAAATTCAATGAGTCTTTGTGAGCCCACTGCAGGGCCGCGTGTCCTCAGCAGCACCCGGGGAGACAGGGTCTGAAAACTCCATGAAAGCATCTTCAAAGCTGCTTTTGGTCTGAGCTGCCTGGCTGAGTGACATCAGTGTGGAATGTGCACTGTTTGCACAGTGAGGTTCTTCTGATGGCCCGTGGGGAGCCGGGTGTGTTTGCAGTTCTGCTGGGGATCAGGGGAATAAGTGACAGATTTGCAACTGGCAAACTTCAAATGTGTGTGTTTGTCCTATCTCTGACCATGCATCCTGCTGGCCCTGGGCTGGGTGGCCGGTAAATGAAGGGCTCTGTGTGTTTAGCATCTCTCCAGACTGTTGAATGAGAAACTCCTGCGTAGACAGCTGCAATAATGTTATCTCAGTGCTTTGCCCATCATCCCTTGTTTGTGTGAGTTCTTGTTGGATGACTTGTCCCAGCACATTTATGGCTTCTTCTCTCAAGAATCCTGAGCCCCATCTAAACTACCCCTCTGTAGTATCCCCCTAGCAGCTAGCCCAAGGCATCCGTGTGGGATTTGCAGCGTCTGCCAGCCAGCGAGGGCTCCCAAGGGACGCTGGGACTGCTTGGATGCTGTGGTCTGTGGCCTAGCTAGTGCCCAGGGCTGTGTGGACCCACAGCGTCTCCTGAGTGGCTGTAACGTGGCTTTATTTTGCTTTTCCAGACAGGGGGATAATCATGACTTTTGGCAGTGGCAGTAATGGTTGTTTGGGGCATGGAAACTTCACTGATGTAACACAGGTTTGTAGTGTAAGGAATTGGGGACACCGATAAATACTGAATGTCACGTGGTCCAGCTTCTCCCTGGCCCTGAGCGGACTTGCAGCAATCCTGCTGTATGCATCCAAATGACGCTGGCGGGCTCTGGAACCGGATCCTTTCCCTTCCCTCCCCCCAGCTCTGTTCTGCTGCTTTTCAGCCTGCTTCTCCCTCCCCGTTTGCACAAAGATGTCTTTGAATGTGGGGTTGCAACATGCCGAGGGAAGTCGAGAGCTGCCTTGTGGTTACTGTTGGCTGGGGCCCAGACTCTGCTGCTGCCTCCAATCACACACCTGGCTGTTTCAGTCTCAGCCCTGCAGCTGCTGCGGTTCACTGGGAAACTTGTTTTTCAATAGAGCCAGTGTTCAAAGGAGAGCCACGCGTCCCGGATTGGGACAAAGTGCTGGAGCTGTAAAGGCACTCTCCTTTCCCCCTCCCCTCTCTGGGCTGTTTCCCAGCCCACCCTGGCTGGCTGGTGGCGATAGCATGTGAAATCCAGCCAGGGATGAGGGTTTGGGGCTGTTTGTCTCTGTGCTCTCTTGCACTGCTTCGCTGGGTGTTATCCTCTGGCTTCTGCTTGAGAGCTGTGCACACCTCCCATTTGCTGCTGTGGAGGAGAGTAGATTGGTGGCTGCAACCATATTTAAGCAAATGGTGCTTTTCCCAGAGACGATTGAGGAGGAGGAGGCCCATGGGAGGGATGTGTCAGATCTGACTCTATCACAGCAGGGAAAAAACAAGGTGAAGCGAGAAATGGGGAATCTCCATCCATCTGCCGCACGGGAGAGTTAGCTAGTAGTTTCCGTGCAGTGCCCTGGGTGTGGATCTTTCTGATGAAACATTAAAACCAAGTTTTGCCTGCTTTGCATGGGCTTTTGTCACAAGGGTAGAGATTTGCCCTGCTGCCTTTGTCATAACGTTTCCCCTCCCCAAACTGTTGTGCTAGTTGGTTGTCTGGCAGCTGTCGTTTACCCCAGAGGTGACTGCATTTTCCTTTGTGCTGTATATCCATAGTTTGTAAAGCACCTTTAAGATCCCTTAGGACAAAAGGTACTCCGGAAATGTAAATATTGTTCATATAGGGTAAAACCTGGAATAGGAACTAGACTATCCCTGGAGCTCTGCTCCTGGCCTTGCCTTTCTGCAGCGCCCGCCGGGTAGGCAGATCTGCTGTAGTAAGGTGTCAGTCAATGAGCTGATGGGGAAAGGGCATAGCTGACTAATGCTGCTCTTTTCTCTACCAGCCTAAGATCGTGGAGGCGCTGCTGGGCTACGAGATTGTGCAGGTGGCATGTGGCGCGTCTCATGTGCTGGCCATTTCCAATGAACGGGAAGTGTTTGCCTGGGGCAGAGGGGACAATGGTAAGGGGATTTTAGCTGCCACTGCTTAGCATGATCAGGGGTCATTTTCCCTCCCCTTTTGCTTCCCCAGTCCCTACTGATCTCCCTGTGTGCACTGTTTGGAAGGTAACTGTTGTGTGAAACTGACTGGGGTTGGAGCAGCCAGCAGTTCCCCACAGCCAGGGTGCCTGCCCCCTACACACCCCCTGCTGGGTGTGTCCCGCATCCAGGCCCCTGCAGTCACCGCTCTAGATATTGTTACTCAGGGAAATGCCTTTGGTTTGTATTTTGACACAAAACGTCTCTTTAAACGATTTCTTTTGCGCAGGTCGGCTTGGGCTGGGAACTCTGGACTCCCACAATTCTCCCCAGCAGGTAGCTGTTCCGCCTGAGCACGAGGCTCAGAAAGTCCTTTGTGGTATTGACTCCTCCATGGTCCTGACGGTGAAGAACCAGATTCTTGCTTGTGGGAGCAACAGGTAAGAAAGGAGGGATGTTTCCCTGCCTTCTGGACCAGAGGTGTCACCACAGCAGATCAGTCCAGGGCCCATCTCATGCAGTGTCCTGTCTCCAGCAGCGCAAGAAGCTAGTAATGGGTATGTCTCTGGAGCTGCAGACAGCTCTGGTGTAGAGCTGAATGTGCCCTATATCACAGTAATGGTAAATTTCTCAGCATCCCTTGGCTTCAGTGCAGCTAGCCCGGGATGGCTTTGGCCCAGGGCCGGCTCCAGCATGTCTGCCACCCCAAGCAAAAAAAAAAAAAAGACCGCGATCGCGCTCAGCGGCGGCAATTGGGAAAAAAAAAAAGCTGCGATCGGCGGCGGCAGTTCGGTGGCAGGTCCTTCGCTCCTAGAGGGAGTGACAAGCAGGTGCCGCCCCTCTCCCTTGGCCGCCCCAAGCACCTGCTTGTTAAGCTGGTGCCTGGAGCCGGCCCTGCTTTGGCCCAAGGCATCCTGAAGAAGTTCCGTCTACAATACGTGATGTTTGCTCAGCCCCGGGACTGCTCTCCTCATGCAGGTTTAACAAGCTGGGCCTGGATAAGACTGCGGAGCAGGGGGAGCCGGCCCTGGGGGATCAGGTGGAAGAAGCTCCCACATTCACGTGTGTCCAGTCAGGGCCCTTAAATCAAGAGCCGGTGGTGTGTGCAGATATTGGAACAGCCCATTCGGCTGCAGTCACAGGTGAGGAGGTGGCCCTGGGAAACCTGCACTGGGAGGGGTAATGTGGGGGGACACTGCTTCCCCCCGTATGGTTTGGGTTCCAGACGGCACGTCAGCCTGGGAACCTTTGGGGCTGTGCGGGCAGTGCGCTCAGCGCTGTGAACGACACTGGAATACTGGCCTCTTACGGTCGCTGACTCCTCATTTCTGTCTTCCCCATTGACAGCTTCTGGCCAGTGTTACACCTTTGGCAGCAACCAACACGGGCAGCTTGGCACCAGCACCTGCCATACCAGCCGTGTGCCCTACCTGGTTGTGGGACTCCAAGCGATGAAGGTCACCATGGTGGCTTGTGGCGATGCCTTCACTGTGGCCATTGGAGCAGGTGAGATTGAAGCCCTGGTGTCTGTGCTGCAGCAGTTCCTGGCTAGCCAAGGAGTCAGTGCTGCTGGTGAGTTAAGCCTTGCTCTGCCCCCCACCATGCTTCGTATGGCCGCTCTGAGAGGGGCATGGGGGGCACACTTGTTCTGCCTGCAGGGCACTCTGCTCTGTAACTTGAGACAGGAGGGTCAGCAGAGCTCATGGTCAATGTGGGAGAAACCGTCTGTAGCCAGATGTCTCCTTTCCAGAGGGAGAGGTGTACACCTGGGGGAAAGGAGCCCGCGGGCGCTTGGGAAGGAAGGATGAGGAGACCAGGACTCCAAGGCCGGTGCAGCTGGAGGAGACCCACCCCTACCTGGTGACCTCTGTCGCCTGCTGCCATGGGAACACACTGCTGGCAGTGAAACGTGAGTATAGGGTTCTTTGCCACAGCTGTTCTTGCTGCGAGCTCAGGTGACCTAAACTGAAGCCCTGCCTGGCGCCCTAGAGGGGTCATGCCCGGCAGCGCTGCGGGGGCAGAGTGTGCCTAGCCAGCTGTCAGCTCCCGCTGCCCTCTGATCTCTCCTGGCTAATTACACTGTGTGATTTGGGGGACACTAATGCTCTATTGCTCGTTCCATGCCTGCTGGGCCACAGATCCTTGGGACGCTCCGCCTGTCGTGGCATCACTTTGACTTGCCTCTGGACTGAGCCCCTCCAGATTTTGCCACTCTGGGATTTCCTTCGGGGAGAGCAGGGTGCTGCACTGTCTAGCTCGGGTGTTCCATTGCTCTTTCTTAGGCCAAATGCTAATAACCAGGGAATCCGACACATTTGCGATCTGGATTTACTCCTCTCCAGTGAACCCTGGCCCCACAGAGCACCGGAACAGCCTCCCCTGCAATGGGTCCGGACGTCCTGTACCAAGTGTTTACAGTGTCTGCGCTTTGGGGATTGGTCACAGGCTGGAGACCTATTCCTGAGCTGGGAGTGCTGCCTGCAGCACCCTCTGGAGTCACTGAACACTGCTCCATGCATCCACTAGTGGAAGGGGGGGAGCACATGAGCTCCTGAGTGATGCAAAGCCCACTCGCCCCTGGTTGGAGCACCTCTGCAGCTCTTCCCAGTGCCTACCTGGCCCAGGGCCAAGGGCCCCCCGTTGGTTCCCAGCTGGCTGGTTTCTGGAATCCATGGTGACTTCGCTGAAATCAGAACATCCCCATGCAAAGCACAGAATCCATCTCTCTTGTGTGCTGCACCCCATAGCCACTGTAGTGATATTGAGCCAACCCAGCAAAGCAAAGAGCAGTGGGGGAAGGAGGCGCCCCTTGGATTCCTAATGCCCTCCCGCTATGGCTGGTCAGGGGAAACCTGCAGGGAGCTGCCGCGCTGGTGGCCATGTTTATGGAGCCAAAGCATTTCCCAAACCAGCCGCTTTCAGAGCAATTGAAGTTGCCTAAATAGAAACTGAGATTTGAGGCATCGTTTTGGCTCCTGGATCTTCTCTGCGGTTTGATAAAAATAGCAACGGCCTGTGGCTTCTCTTCCCTCGGTCTGAAGGAAGCATCATTACGTGGTTCAAATAAGCCCACAGTCGGACCTGCCCTTCCTGTGCCAGGGTACGTGAAGGCAGCCTGGGTCAGCACATCGGTGGGTCTGCTCGTACCCCTGCAGTGTGGACTCTGGCTTTTCCCTTTCCCCGTCCCCTGCTAGCTGGCTAATTGTCCCCAGCAGGGAGGAGCTTCTAGCTCCCTCACGCTCCACTGCGCACCTTGATTAAGCTACAGAAAACATTGTTGTATCTGTATCGATCCAGCCAAAGTCCTTATCTTCCCCCCCCCCACCCGGTCCCATCTGAGCGCCTCACAGTCTTTCCCTGATTTATTGTTGAACCCAAACACATAACATTCAGGATCGTGACTTGAGCCACCAAAATGTTGCGTGCAAACGGCACCCAGCCCTGCCCTGCTCCGTGGGTCCCAGAGTGCAGGTAGCATGGAAAGCCACAGAATGGGTTGGTTCGAACTGTTGGTTTGGAAACCTTTTCCCAGAAGAGAGAACCTGTCTGAACCTTCTGCTTGTGGTATAGCCCTAGTCCCCCGACACGGGGCGTATGAAAGGCCCATCACTAACAAGCACCTCTGTGCTGAGGACACAGTGGTTCCTTACTGCCCCAACCTGTCCTTCTCTCTTGGGCACCATTCAGTGCAATTTCTTTCCAGCATTTGGCGTCTGCTCCCTGGCTGCAGCTGCCTGGGACTGGACCAGTACCTGCGACCCGCTTTGCTGTGAGCTCTGTACTGCAACCCGCTGCTCACTCTAGTCAGACCTCAGCAGTGCAAACCTCCGTGCCGAAGCAACCCCAGGCAGGAAGGGACCACTAATGAATTAACAATGAGAAGTGGGAGCCTGTCCAGCGGCACAGAACTCCTTTGGAGAGAGTCTCTCTTCCCCTTCGGGGCTAACCCAGTGGGGGGAGAAAGGGGGGCACAGACCTCAAGGAGTCACTGTTTCTTTACCCCCCAGAAGACCCTTTAGAATCAACATGAAGACAAAGGGCCCCTCTGTTAATCCTTTAGCACCAGTGCACATGGCAGTTCCGATGCCAGCCCCACGCCCTCTGCTCTGTGTACTAATGAGAGCCTCACAATGGCTTCCCGGGGCAGCCAGAACCACAAAGCCTGTCAGCCTGATTATTGGCTTGGTAGCCACAGGATGCTGCTGATTTTAGCCCCCCGGTGGAGTGCTCTTATCGGACACTTCGCCTGCGTTTATCCCAGGTTTCTGCCCTTTGTGTTTCAGCTGCAGGGGAAGAGTCAGGCCCCCAGTGAGGAACGGGCTGAGAGGAGCGAACTGCACCGCCTCCATATGGACATAGCCAGCTTCCTTCTGATCTCCTGACCTGCATGGCGCACGTATCCTCTCCTGCCTGCCTCCGTGTTACTCAGGCCTGGAGGACGGGGCTCTGGAGTGCTGGGGCAACACCATGGGCTGCATTGGTGCTTGCCAGGAGCCGGAGAATACTCAGCCACTCAGATCAACGGGGGTCACTGCATGCTGGAACCTGAAGCCTCCCCCAGGACATTGCCCCATGGAGCAGCGCCTGCTGGGACAGGCCACATCTCTCCATCAAGGATGAAGGGTGATCATGACCTGTCTTGTATTCAGCGGGCCCCACTCAAGTGATTTCACTGTGGCATTGCATATGTGATTGCCACCAGCAAGAAGGGCCTCGGTTTATTTTCACACTTCTGTGAAAACTGACTCTGGTTACAAAGCGTGGGCTGGCAGCTTGGTGTCGGAGGGAGCTGTCAGCGTTTGCACCGGAACGTCTGTTGTTATGGCCCCAGGCACTATGATGGGTGACTAAGTGCAAAACTCTTTTACTTAAAGTCTATTTATTCCTGAAGAATGTTTGGCCCAGTTGTTGACCGAGTTCATTGCGTTTTCAAGCTACCAAAGTTCTGGGGCCATGACCCACTTGGCCCTTCGCCAGCCGCCAGAACCAGCAAGAACAGTGATCTTGTGTGTAGGCGGCTTGGCCCGGGGCTGTTCTTCCCAAGTGCCTGCTTTAACTCTCCGATCACAGCTTGACTTGTGTCCTTCAACTCTTAGTTCTGGATGCCCCGGCTAAGGTTTGTTCTCAGATCTCTGAAGCCTGCTAGTGATGCACCCGAAGAAGTGGGCAGTAGCCCACGAAAGCTTATGCTCTAATAAATTTGTTAGTCTCTAAGGTGCCACAAGTACTCCTGTTCTTTTTGCGGATACAGACTAACACGGCTGCTACTCTGAAACCTGCTAGTGACCAGTTCACTGTCCAACAGCCTAGACCTCTGCTACTGAAAATCACCAGTATCGCAGCAAGCAGCTGTGAGTAACTGGAGGTCTGGCCTCGATCTGACCATGAGGAAGGAGGAGGCCCTTCCCGGAGCTCTTCCTGCCAGAGACTGGAGTTATCTTTCGATGTAACCAGAAGGATCATTCCCATTTTTACTGACACCAGACTCTGGGCCATTTGCTGAAGAGCGTTTGTATCTGAGCTATCTTAGCAGCCCTCCTTTTCACTCTACTAGGACACACTTGCCAGTCAGTTGTGTATACAGGCTGTGTTTTCACTCGCTGGTAGATTCACTGGCTTAGTTCTTTCATTGTGGATCTTTGTTTGATTTGAGGCAAAACTTGGCAGTGGCTGACAGGCTCCAGTGGTGTCTGGCTGCTACGACTGCAGGATGAAAGATCGTTTCCTGTCCCCGCTGGGTGCTAGGGCTCTGGAGAGGCTGAGGAACGGTGTCCCTTGTAGCGCTGGGAGCTGACTGGGGACATTCCTCTCTTGCCTGTGTTCTGCCAGGAGAGCGAGGCCTCCTTTCCCTGGTGGCTGTCCTCTGCAGAGGTGGGAAGAATCGGGCTCTGTTACCAACAGAAAGTCCTGTTTGTTGTTCAAAGGTGTCTGTTTTCTTGGCATTTGCCTTGTGCTATCCCCCTCTGCTGCCTTTGGAAGCTCTATTCACACTAAGGGGCTGTAGATCAGGTCACTGCACATGCTCATTGGATCTCTCTAGCCCTCAAAATGGTGCAGCTCACCAGGGGAGTAGAATCCAGGGCTCGCTGTAGGGAATGGCTCTCGATCGGTTCCAAGCCAGTTCTGACTGACGAAAGCGGTGCGTACCTGGCTGGGCCGGGCGAGCCTGTCTCATGGCCCTTCCTCTCCCTGCTGTAGGTCACTGTGAGGCTGCCAGGAGCCCTTGTTTAGGTGGAGGTGTTTTCTGCCCCCAGTCGGATCCAGGATTGTGAGTCGGGGCAACCCTTAACCAAGGGGATTGCAGCGCTCGTAGGGCTAAGAGAACCACCACAGCCTTCCTGGGCTAATGGTTTCAGCAAAGACCTCTTGTTGGAGGGCAGCCCCAGCTCCTATAGGAGTAGCATCCTCCTGCCAGTGTCTCCTCAGACCAGCTAGCAAGCTCCATCTCCTGCTACCTGCTGAACCATGTCTGCCTCTGACAGCACAAGGTCTCTGTCCTTCACTTTGGCAGCACTTGTCCAGCCGCTCCTGCCAATAAAGTATCGGTGAGTTGAGTAGAAATCCACCTTAAACCAGTCCCTTGGAAAGTCCTACACCAGCCACCTTGTTTCCTATGTCCCCTTGGAGCGAAACAAGAAAACTCCTCCCCAAGGTGAAGTACCTGTCGGGGTGAAACCCGCTGGCACCAACTCCACTTCAGGAGCCTCTTCTGGGGCTTTTACTGCATGAGAGATGCTGGTTTATGGCCCCTGAAGGGCCATTTCTCAGCAGAGTCCATGGGGGATGGCAGCATTATGGACTGTGATGAAGGGAGGAGCCAACTCATTAACCATGTGCTGCCAGAGGGGAAGGCCCCAGTAACCTCCCTTGTAGGGTGACCATGTTTTCCCAAAGGGAAAACGGGACCCTGCACGGGACCGGCCCCCTCTCCCCTTCGTGCGTGGGGCCGGCCTGGGCCTGAGCCCTCTCCGCTGCCCGCCCACCTTGGGCTGACCCGGCCGAGCCGCTCTTGAGACCTCCCTCCCGTGGGGGCTGGCATTGCTGCTCTCCCACCCCGTTGGGGGTCACACCCCACTTTTTTGGCAAAACTGGGCATTTGTCCAGTTTGCTCTTGCCAACTGATCATCAGGCAGCAAGAGCAAACAGGCCAAATGCCCAGTTTTGTCAAAAAAGTCGGGACGGCTGGGACAAGGCTTAAAAAAGGGACTGTCCCGGCCAAACTGGGACATGTGGTCACCCTGCCCCGTTGATTCTTACTCATGTCACACCTTGGTGTGTGTGGAGTTTGGGGTGTTGCAGCCCCAGGCGAAGCCAGAGCCAGCAGGAATTCACAGCCACTGTTGGTAGTTGCTGAGCACTGGAGTTAATCTTTGAAGCCCCAGAGTTCAGCAAGGTCATTTGAATAATTTAATACTGGACTGTGACCCAGCTCGGGAAAAGAAACAAAGAGGCCCCAGAACAACAATAGAGCTCTCGAAACTACAGGCTGAGGCATGTCCTCCCTGCCTCGGGCACAACAGCCAGAGCTAACAGGCCATTCCATTCCTCAAGTCTGTGCTTTGTTTCCCCGCACAAGCTCATGCCACCCCTAGTGAAAGCTCCTGCTTATCCTATCAGTGGCTTGTTTGCTTGTGCGTAGCCCTGTGTGTAGAGTACACATCCCAGCCAAGGGCAAGGAGCCCCACATCCACAGGCACTGAAGTGCATGTACCCCTTTCGTGTGCGCCCCTACTCTCAGCTCACTTCCAAAGCCAGAGCACTTTCCCCGGGGCCACCGCCATGGAGTGCGTAGAGGAAGAGAGATGGGCCCTGTCCTGGTGAAAAGGACAGCTCAGCCACGGGACTTCCAGAGCGGCAGTGTCCCTCAGCTATGCCTGGTGAGCGGAGGATGGACAGAAAAAATGACATGTTCAGGGGATGATGCTGGAAAGTGCAAGGCTGCCGAGGCACCCGAGTTCCCTCCTGTTTGCTCCAGCTTGAGGTGGCTCTTGTGCAGGGTTCACGTTCCTGAAGAAGCTGAAGGCCCATCACTTGGCGTAGTGACTCAGAGGCAGCGGGAATGGCCTCTATGTAGTTTCTGTAGCTCTCCTAAGCATGTCCCGGGAGTGGAGTGGCCTCCATAATCCGATCTCCCTGTGTGAAGGGATGGTAACACCAGGAAGAGGGAGGGGAGCGACTCAAGAAGTAGAAAATCCCTACGGAGCTGGTGAAATTCCAGGCCGCTTTGTTCCAGTCTCAGCTGAAAGTTGGGGAGAGAGAGAGAGTTTGCAGTAGGGTTGTGATGGGCTGTTGGGGGCACTGGGTGTAGGATAACTGCCTGTCTGTCTGGGAGTGGTATGTCAGGGTAGCTGAGGACGTTATAAGTACAGGAGCTGCTCTGGTGGTGCTTGGAGTGAGGTCATGTATTGCCCATGTTGAAGAGGTATTTCTAGTTACAACCTATGTGCCTAGAGGCATTTGGGCCTGAGGGAGCCAGAGACACACAATATCCGATACTGATCAGGCTCTGAAATGGGGTGATTAACCCCCATGGCAGGGACAGGGACTCCTCACTCCAGGCTGTCCCGTCTCTCCAGCCAGCTCCTTCTGATGACTTTGTGTTCCCACTAGCTAATGAGTCAGAAACGCTCTCTGCAGCGGGCTTAGAGGCTGAGTAGTTTTAAACATCAAAGTGCAATACATAGAAATAATGACTCTGTAGCCTGGTAGCGCCTTTCATCTGAGAGTCCCCGCAGGCCTCCATTCATGGAGCTGCACGTACTTCTGTGAGCTAGCGAAGTCCTGTCCCCATTCGCCACATGGACACTGATACCGCGCAGTTAGAGCCCCATCCGTGTTGACCTCCCCCCAGTTTGAAAGCTGTGTGCAGAGATGGTTTAAGTGGAGTAATGGCTGGAGGAGCATGTTCTACCCTGTTCTGGCTGGCCTGGGGGGATGGGACCAGCTTTCAAAGCCAGGCCCCAGCCTAGACCACAACTCCAGTGCCAACTGAACAACATGTGTCCATTGTGTGTGTAGACAGGCCCCTAACTGTGTTCCCAAAGCGAGCGAAAGCTTGGACATGGCTAAGGCCTTAACTGTATTCTTTCTGTAAGCAAAAGGGCTAAGAGCCATCTCTGCTATAGGAGGGCTTAGGGGATAATCCCATCGTATCTGGCTTCCCTGACACTGGCAGAACGGTAATGCAAGGTCATGCTGTGACTCAGTGCCAGAACCAGGAAGGGAATGCAGAGCTCCCCTGGGACCTGCTCCCTGCCTGAAGAGTTTTGTGGCTACTAGAAAACTGAGTGGGAAGAATAGTTACCCACACGCCATGGGCCAGGTACCCAGCATGCCAGACCGGGTGGGACATCGTCGGGGGCCAATCAACAAGCTCCAGATGTGCCCAGTTTTCTAATGGTATTTCCCAGCCTGCTCTCCTAAGGCCACCGGCGGTTAATCTCTCACGTGTAGCGTTTCCAGGAGCTCTGGGAAAGTGAGGGAGCAAATTCCTGCTGGTTAAAGTTTAGCCCACTCCGCCACCAGCTCCCTGCCTTTACAAAGCTGTTTGTTAACCTTTCCTGCCTATCTTAGGAAAGGACTGGTCTCCAGCCGCACACAATCAGCCAGGGCTGTTAAGGGCCTGCGGTTCCAGCCGGGTTGGTGCCCAGTCTGCTGGAGAGGGATCCCAGTGCACTCCTGGCAGAGACCCTCTTTTAAATTCGGAGGCCCCCATTCGTTTCACCCATTTGTCATATATCCAGGTGCTTGACAGCAGGTAGGGCAAGACCATGCATGTGGCAGATTAAGCTGCTAGCACAGGGCCTGATTCCCTGGGATATCATCCCCACCCCATATCCCCGTGGGCTGTGTATGGGAGGCTGCAGCCTGCACCCCACAAGTTTTGTGCCTGCCTTGGTTCTAGCAAATGCAGGGGGTCTGGGTTTTGCTCCCACCAGGCAGACTCAGACCGATTCTTAGTTTTAACAAGACTTTTTGGGGAGAACAACATGAGCAGCAAGCGTCACGATGGGGATTTACCTCAGGAATCCCTCCCGTGTTCCATTTGCTATTGGAAAACTAAACCCAAAAGTTACCATAGCAACTGCTACCCTCAATGGGACAAGGACTAGAGCACGGTCTGGTTAGACTCCAGACACCTGCTCCTCACCCTGTCAGCCGGTGGGCAGCAAACGGTGGTTGGACCTGTTCTGCCAGCCTCTGGGGAAAGGGACAAATATGCCTACATGCTGCTTTGGTTTCTGAGAGCACCAAGTGGAGGCTGGAGGGTGGTAGTTTTAGTCTGGCTCTGCTCATTGTCTTAGCCTCCCTCCAAACTCTTTGAGAAAAAGGTGAGACGCTGGGCAGGAAGGCTGTTGCCTGCTGGGCATAGCTGGCCATGCAGTCCGAGCAGGGCCCCCCCAAGGGTACTGCCCAGGGGAAGAGGGGCTCAGCTGTGCGTCTTGAGGATTTGCATGGAGAGTGATGGAGAGAAATTGGAAAACAGGGAACGGGATTTTTCTTTGCCCTCATCAGCACTGGGGCGAATGTCCTTCGGTGGGGTGGATGTATAGATCTCAGGAGCGCACAAAACAGTTGTTTGAGATTAGCCACAGGGGTCACTGCAGAACTTTGTGCTCGCTGTAGCCTAGGGAGCCATGCAGCACCGTATTCGCCTGAAAAGGATTGTCTAGTGCAGGGGGTCTCAAACTTCATTGCACTGCAAGCCCCTTCTGACAACAAAAATTACTACATGACCCCAGGAAGGGGGGGACGGACTGAAGCCTAAGCCCCATAGGCCTGGGGGCGGGGAGCAAAGCCCAAGGGCTTCAGCCCCAGGCAGGGGGCCTGTAACCTAGTCCTGCTGCCCAGGGTTGAAGCTCTTTGGCTCTGGGCCCCAGCAACTCTAAGGCAATCCTGGTGACCCCATTAAAATGGGGTCCC